GGTCCAGTTTCCACCACATAGTTCTATCAACACGTTAATTTGCAAGTTGTCTTTGGCTAGATTGTTGCGCAGATGGCGTAACATCACAACAGTACCAATCATTTACATGCCAGCAGTACCAGCAGGCAACAAGTCAACTTGTAAATAACCTCTGACTTCATGTCAACCCACATGCCCAGGAAACCTTAATAAGATCTCTAGTACTATGTTCCCAAGAGGTACACCTACAGTGAAGAAGAAAATAAACCCAAATAAAGGGCAGCGCACACAGTTGAGCACGCTACACCTTCCGCCCTGACCACAGCATGGCCAGGAAATAACTCTGCCCTTCCCATGCTGCTAAACCTACAGGAAACTTCCCTACCGGGAGCAGAACCCTCCCAAGTTCACAGCTTAACGAAGGACTTGTCAGACAGACAACATCTTATTAGACTCTTGATACAAACCAGATCAAACTACAGCTGTGACAAACACTTTCCACTGCTTGACATGAACATACAAATCTTGCTAATGAATCGATCCCTGGAAAATGGGTCTCTCAGTGATAAAAACATGTTCTAAGAAAGCACATTTGTTTGAACAAAAATGAGTATGTTTGTGCGTGTGTGGTAAAATATCTCAACTCTCAAATATCCCAATTGACTCAGACATCAATTAGGAAGGGAAATTCAATAGTGCAATACAGAAAAAGCGTATTTATCTAACATTTAAAAGAATATCACAATTTGTGCAGTAAAATAAATCACTTATCATATACTGTGTCTGAGCCTTTAATGAAGAGTAGGAACCCGGTCGTAGATGAAGAACTGTATGGCGTCTGGCATCAAGACCTGTGCTCCTTCCATACATCATCATAATTCCACATCTTCTATTACACACACAAAGTCACATTATAATCCATCAGTTTGATTTGGTTTCTCCCCTGCATAAAAAGCAGAACATGCTTAAAGCTGTACCTGATGACTGGAGGGAGTTTGTCCAGACGTGTTTCAGGGCTCCATGCGATAGCATCTACACGTACTCCATGCGAGAACACTTGCAAATTGGTGAACTCTACATCCTCGATCTCTGTGTCTTCCTCCTACACAAATACAAATCACTAGACTGTGGGTACTGTCATTCAAATGCTGAAATGCAGACTGGACAAGATCTGTTCTCTATGCACCATCCTGGTAAAAAGAGTGTTTTCTCTTACAGATAGATATGGATGGTTATATTCGGAATAGTATACGATTTCTGTGCGATGAATACTATGTACATAGGCTGTGTCCGTGGTATGTATAATTGGATATTCTCAGAGTAGGTATTTCTTTTGAATAAGCACTTGCTTATGCAACTGTAAAATATATATGTTGTATGTAGCATGAATGCAATCCTGATGCACTACATTAGTCATGTTGTCAGTCATGTGAACTACAGCATCAGTTGCATCACTTCATTGCCATTCCCAAATCCTCTCCTGTGGCCTCATGGGATATTAAAATGTCCACTGGATGTGCACTTCAGCATCTCGTCAGTAGCAGTCAGTCATCTGGGTACTTTGCCAACTGTTTTATGAATACTGTAAATTTAGACATACGTCTCACACAGTTTCCCCCCCCCTGCTTTATAGTAAGGAAGTATTTATATTCAGATACAGCCATTGTGTACATTTTCTGAATGTCTGAATTTCCCAGACAACCTATTACGGTTGCCAATTTTTTTTAGTATACGATACTATATCTCCCATATCTTGTAGTATACGACATACCTTGTAATATATGGTACTATAATTCCCATAATCCCATAAAATGACTTGACCTTTAATTTAATAAATTGATAAACTAGTGTGACAAATGAACAAAATGCAATACAATGCTTTTAAGAGTCACTTTAACAGTTGATTTCAAACTTCTAATATAAAATAATGAAATGTACACTTGATATGTAACTTGTAGTCGGTTGCAAAATATTTTGCTAGAATATACAACTAATTTTGAATGGTGGTCAACAGGAAACAATACTTCTAGGCACCCGAAAGTGTTCTGGCATGGCTAACAAGACCATGGTAACCAGCCAAACCTTGACCCCTTGGTTTTACAAACCACTTGTGAATGAATTTAAAAAGGTGGTTCACTGTTTTTTTTCTAGGCTTGATTGTGTTTATGGGGTGCAGTCTAACATGTGTTAATGCTCATTATGTTTTCACATAATTTACCTTTATTCCACACCGCTCTGTCCCTTCTCTGAGAAACGGGCTGATCATTTCCTGCTTTTATGAAGCCCCGCTCTCAGAAATAGATGATGGGCTCTGATTGGTTATCTAGCCCAGTGTGTTGTGATTGGCTAAATCGCCTCTAGTGCATGTCTTTAAACGTCCCGCCCTTCACCTCAGCGGCATGTGCTACGGTTGTATTGTAAACAACGGCGTTGTTAATATCGCTTATCAGTTTGAGCCCGATTGAGAAGCAGAGAATATTATTGAAGAGGATCATGCAGAACCTGTGCAAGCACGGCTTTTAATGGTAGGCCTATGTTTTATGTTTGTTGTTGTCTCATACTTTTAGATATGCTGTTATTTGTAAATGATACTGCTTATGTTAGCTTTTAATATACGGTTTTATCCTGATTAAAGCTTTAATACAGTACGGCAACTGCACGCGCGTCCATGTTTAACGCTTCGTGTGCAGAGCAGGGGGACGTGAGGAACAGTATTAAGAACCGCTGCTTTAGAACATTGATTTTGAAACTTGTGAATCCATTAGAATCGTTAGAAGACAGAATAGCGATTCATATATGAACAGATTTTTATGTGCACCTCTAGTTTTCTCTTCCTCTTCTCTAAAGCAGCGCAGCATGGCCTCGTCCCCTTTGCTGCCTTTTCCAGAGGGCGGGGTTTATCTGGGTTTGTTATGCTGCTTTCACACCATATCGCAATTACTGTAATTTCGAGATACTCTGAGCTGTTCGGAATTATGCTTTTCTATGGCAACACTATCAACGCCTTAACAGAGCCTGAGGTGGTCAGGTGGTACAACGGTCACGTGATACAAGTCGTAGCTCTCAGAAAACTCCCAGTTCACAAGTTGTAATTACGAGTTCTACGAGGACGTGAACGCTTTTTACAAGTTGGAATCTTGTAATTATGGGAATTTCGATATGGCGTGAACGCATCTTTACGTCACGAACCCGGGAAGTAACTTGTTGTAGTCCCTACCAGCCGTTTTTGTAGGCATTACACTGCCAGAATTTTAAAAGACGATATCTCCGTTTGCATCGAACTTTCAGCTTCGTAACTTTGCAGATATTGTTTATGCTCAAACAGCAACATTACACACTAACTAACGTTAAAAAACTGAAATCGCAATCAACCACCCCTTTAAAGTGTATACTGCACAGTACCAAGTATGCTAGTAATCCTTTCTAAACACAGCCATTGAGTTTCATGTAAGAATGGATGTTTTGTTGGTGAAAAGTGAGATTACTTGAGCCTGCCAGAGAGAACTCAGTCCACCCAGGCATCCCAATTCACATACCCTCCAAATTATCCTAAATAGCATTCGAGTTTAGTTATCTTGAATATTGTTTAGGGAGGATAGTATTCAAATTAGTGTTTAGTTTCACCTCTAATTAAATACACCTGAACCAGTTCGTCGATGTTCACATCATAAACAGGTGTGTGGAAGCAGGACAGCAACCCTGCAGTGAGGTACATACATCTCCAGACTGTTAGCTCTCTTGCCACAGACTGATCGATCAGTCTGGTGAATTACTGTAGGCTCACCTTGAAACGACAAGTGCCTACTGGTTTCCTCCATATGCCAGAAGTGACACAGGTGAGCCACAGTCAAATGGACTGAACTCCACTACATGAACATAGTCCTCGCAGGACACTGTGTAGCTTGCAGAGCGAACCGTTTCATCTGGCATCTTCCATCAAGCGAATCTTTGCTGTTTGGATGTAATGGAGTTACTTTCCAATCTAAAATATAAATAACACGGAGAAACGTGTTATATTTTATTGGAGGAGCATGCCATAATGGTTAACAAAAGTGCAGTAATTATTATCTGATATGATGTAATAGGATGTGTGCTGTCCAGACATTGCTTTGGTTGTATGAAGAAAGTTTCCTACATTCAAAGAAAATAAACACTAGAACTACTGTACCTCACATATGTTATGATATAATAAATATATAACTTTGTATATTTCTTCACGGACTTCGTACATTCATTTCACTGTTGAAGTTACAAATGAACTATACATAGATCAGAGACAGCAGGCTGGTGTGTAACGAGTCATGCATGTGTAAAAAAAAAAAATGCATCAAAACTTTGACAAACCTGAGATAATTTTTGTGAACTCCGTTGATCGTCTGGCCGAGAAAGTGAGTTCTTGTTCTCAGCGCGCTTGCGGATCACGTGGTCGCGTTTGTTTACTTCCTGGTTAGTGACATAATCACGACACGAAGAGTATCTGCTTTGATTAGCATTTTAGAAACAAAGCCGCATTGATGCACTTCTCTAATTTATTGTACATTTTTAATTTTACCCCTGGAGCAATTGTATTTTATTTAATAGTTTATGAGCTGTTTGTATACGGTTTAAAATCAAGTAAAAATATGAATTCGGAGATGCTGAGTATTTTTTTCTTATTATAATGGGGGATACACGTAATAAAATGCAAACTCTATAGACAATTGTAAAACGCACTAATTAATGGTTTAGTTTATTGCTAATTTGTCTAGGCTAACTGAAACAATTTATAGTCCTGGGGAAATGTACTGCCCTTGCAGTCATATAAACTGATTTTTAAAAGTGGATGGTATAGCTCTCATATTTCTTTAAATCGCCGCATGAGTTGTATTTCTTTTCTTGTCAACAATCGACACTGATACGCGTTGTGGTTTAAAACAAAACGGGACCGTTCTAATCTGTTTGTGCTATTGACTTCCCGTTTGGCGGGGGCGTGGCTAACGCATCGCGCTCTGTGATTGGTCCAGGCTTCCTTGCATGTGGATTTAAATTTACAGGCAGCGGACCAGTTTATAATAACTTGCATCTACTGGCGTCTGTTAGTGTTTTCCCATGTGTTTCACATTAGAGACATAGGACGCGTCTAAATATCAGTGTTGGTAAGTTGACCTAAGAGGTTTGAAGGTTCTGTTCCTAATAAAGTGCAAAGGGGAAAGGGCCTCCTCTTGTTCCTGACTATATTGTGATTTGCTTGATGTCTTCGGACTTTCTGTTCTAGCTCGGTGGTAGACTTGAAAAGGTATATGTGATGCTGGCTGAGTTGCATGTATGTTCTGCTGTCTGCTCATAATCATTTCAGTGCTGATCTGCCTAATTTTCTGGCCCTGCAGTTCATTTTGTAAAGGTTGAATAATGGTGGTTATGGAGGAAAGCCTGAGAACAATGACCAGGGTCTTCAGGAGAGAATGTCACAGGGTGTTAGACTCTGAGAGGACCACCATCCAAGGGGCTGATGGGATGCTGATGGTCCTACAACTTGCTATGGCTGGGGTCAACAAGCAGGTAATGTTGCTTAAGACTTATTCCACAATATAATTAATTAAAATATTTTCTGTTTGAAATCAATGCTGCACTTTTAAACTTCCTATTAACCAAAGTAACCTAAAAAACAACAACATTATCACAGTTTCCACAAAACATTTTCAACATTGATAATAAAAAAAAAAAGTTTAAGCACAAAATCAGCATATTATAATTTTCTGTAGGATCATGTGACACTGAGGACTGGAGTAATGGCTGCTGAAAATACAGCTTTGCCATTGCATGGATAAATTACATTTTTAAATGTATTAAAACAAAAAACTTTAAAAAAAAAAATTGTAATACTGTTTTTTTTTTAAAGTGTTTATAGTGTGTATGGTTTTACTGGTGCATCTAAAATGAAACTTTTTTTTTTTTTAATTTTTTTTTTTTTACGTCATAAATATGCAAAGCATGGTTAAAAATCTTGAATGTTTTTAAGAGCATTAAGTCAAACATGTGGCACTGGTCATGTGAACTTTGTACAGATGGTCAATTGATCTTTGAACGATTTTTTCCTCCACATGTTTACTGTAATTCTTCTGCTGATGATTTTATCAAGAAAAAAAGGGGTGGAAAAACACATTTTCACAGGTGGACTTTTGAACAGCATTTTAAATTCACATTATCACTGTTTAAACCTGTAGGATCTCCACTTTGAATTTCAATGTAAATGTTTGCTTGCAGTTTATATATGCAGTGGTAGGAAAAAGAATGAGTCACACAAGTTTGAATCATACATTTTGTTCCGTATCTGTACATTTTCTGTGGAACCGTTGTGCGTAATATTCTCGTCCCTGTGTTTGCTCTGCTCCTGACAGGAACATGGGGACTTTGGTGTTGCTTTGAGTGAAGTCTTGGCTGCCTGGAAATACTTCCTCCTGGACAAGCTCCAGCTATCCCACAACGATATCCCTCTTCCACAGAACTATGACCTCATCCGAAAAGAGTATGACTGCTTTTTGAAACGCACCAATACTGTGGACTTGATTGACGTCTTCATTATGTTCAAGGAGCTTCGGATAAATGGGGACCCCGAGGAGCCCCTAACCGCGGTGAGTGCTGCCAGAGGGCCTCACATTGGGTTGTTCTTTCAGTCATCCATCTGAAAGATCTTTAATCTGTGGCATATTCTCGGTTTTATCTCGATATCTAGATGCAACTGTTTCAGTCTCTCATTGGTGAAAAGGAGAGTTTGGAGAAAATGGATCCACTTCCTGTGTGTCCCGCAACTCCATCTAACAAGGCTGGAATCTGCAGTCCACAGGTAAATGGTGATGAATTTACGAGACTAGAATAAGTGTTTTTTGTGTGTGTGTGCGCATGTTGTGATTTGAGGACACAAATTTGTATAATGACATGGGTATGACATAGGTATTACAATGAGAAGGTAATTTATGAGGACATTGAGTGTCCCCATATTTCAAAATTATAAGGCTTTTAAAGAATTAATTTTTTGAAAATCTAAAAATGCAGAAGTTTCCTGTAAGGGGTAGGTTTAGGGGTAGGGCAATAGAAAATAGGGTTTGTACAGTATAAAAACCATTACGCCTATGGAATGTCCCCACAATTCACAAAAACAAACCTGCACGTGGCTCTTAGTGACAATGACAGCAAATGAGATGAACACAAACATTTCAACAAAGCACTTAACACTTTTACTATATTTACTGAATTACATGCATGTAATAAATAAATAAAATTTACTTTAAGTGAATGACACCTAATTCTTTCAACTTTAAAATTGTATATTCATATATTTAATAAAAGAAAATTTAAACGCCAATAATATTTACTTTTATTTAATGTTTTACGTTGTTAATTTTTACACAATTTTTTTTACATGTATAGGCTGACAATTGTAATAGGTTACACACACACACACACACGCATAGTGCTAAATATGCGGAATATATCACATATATAAAATATGCTAAAATGTTTAATTTCATAGCACTTATTATTAATATAATGAATGCATGTTGTTATAATTAATTGTAATATAATTAAGTGAAGGCATTGTCCTGTGTGACAGTTTAAAGCTTATTGCACCTGGCAACAGTAACTAAGGAGGGTGGAGTTTAGCAAAGGATCTGATTCTGTTACTTTTACATTGAGATCTTACTCTCGTTTTTTTTTTTTTTTTGCTGGCTTTTTCTTTTTTCCCTTTTGTTTCCTGTAAAATTCCACCCCCTTGCATGTGCCTCTTATTCAGAAGAATGTGAATATCATATCATATCATATATGAAATAACCACAAAACCATACACCACAAAACCAGTCATAAGGGTTAATTTTTCTAAATTGAGATCTATACCTTATCTGAAAGCTAAGTAAATAAGCTTTCCATTGATGTATGGTTTGTTAGGATAGGACAATATTTGGCAGAGAGACAACTATCTGGAATCTGAGGGTGCAAAAAAATCTAAATATTGAGAAAATCGCCTTTAAAGTTGTCCAAATGAAGTTCTTAGCAATGCATATTACTAATCAAAAATTAAGTTTTAATATATTTACAGTAGTAAGTTTACAAATATCTTCATGGAACATGAGCTTTACTTAATATCCTAATGATTTTTGGCATAAAAGGAAAAAATCAATAATTTGGACCCATACAATGTATTTTTGGCTATTGCTACAAATATACTGGTTTTGTGGTCCAGGGTCACATATATCATCATATCATATGAACAGGATGTTTTAAAAGCACTTTGTATAGTGTGTCGAAACTACTGCTAGTCTTGCCCAGTTCTGTTCACAACTGCTCTGCTGGGCTCTGATTTATGTGTGAGTAGACGCTGGGTTTTGCCACTGTAATACTGGGGGTGATGAAGTTTATGAGCCTGGCCTGTTAAGCTTAAGGGGCTGTGGAAAAAGCCCGTCCTCTTATACAATATGAGTCCAAGTCAGCTAACTGACTCATCAGTATTGCAGAACGGAAGAGTATGAACCGTTCCTGTTAAAAAATAAAAAAATAAATAAAAAACATTTTACCCTTTCAGTTAACATTTGTTGATGTTTTTAGTCCAATTCCAATTATCCCACTAAGGTGTTGTTTAACTTTTCCTGCAGATACAGAGAGTTGTCAGGAGAGTTTTCTGTTCTTATTTGGGCCTTCTGGTGAACTCTAAGAATGACATGGCTCTCGCATACACCCTGGACAACCCAAATCGCTCTCTGGGTCACAGCGCCTTTACTGACCTTAGACATGCTGCCTGCGACAGTGCCTCGTCTCTCTTCCTGGTGAATTTGCAATGAGTACTTTTTGTGGTCAAAAACTAAGTGTAAAATCCTTCTCGAGCAAGTCGTGTGCAGTGCTGTCGATGACTTCCATAACCCGAATGAAACACATTGACAGGCTGCTCTTGCTCTGGTTGATGTGTGCGCGCGCTCTTCCTGGAGAAGTGCCCATAAAAGGAGTTCCAACCTTTATGGCGTCATACATTTCCGAAACTTATTCAAACCCTGAAGGAGAGTATTTGGCACAGAAATACTCGGTCATACATCCAACTGGTTTTTTGAGACTTTGGTCATGTTTAGCATGGGAATCCAACTCTTTAACAGTGTACATAAGTCAGAATGCATGAAGTAGCATTAGACCCCCCATTTAAGATTAAAAAAAACTTTGTATGTACTTGTGTGCTTTTATGTTTGCATGCATATGGATGAAAGAATATTTACAGTTTGTGACCGCACTTTTAGGACTGCTAAAATATGAAAATGGGTGTTTTTAATTGTATGTATTGCATTTGTTTATTTCCAACAGAGAAGCTGGATCCAAGCTGGTGTCTAGTATTAGAGCTGCTCTGGTCAAAGGCCGCAGTAATGGAGACCCAGTGTACCTTGCAGCAGAGGATACAGTCAAAAGTCTCAAGGAAAGAATCCGTCAAATACACACCATGCAGACGCATTCAGCGGTTGGCACAGGAATCAGTCCAGCAAGGGTAAAACATAGTGGATGTACCCCATCTTCTCCAAATATTTTTTCCAACCTCATTAGTAAGACACAAAATTTTTCCGTTTTAGCCCAAAGCATATGCTATTAACCACTCCACTGCCTATGGGGGCCGAGAGACCGTGAAGGTTCTAATGACTCTTTTGGATGAAGAAGCACTAGCACCGCCCTGCAGGAACAAGGCGGAACTGCTCTCTGAAGATCATGCCGTTCTTAATGGCAGCTCTGGAGCGTGTCTTCTTTCCCTTTACAAGTGAGTTGCTCCAAATTGCTGTAATAGCGTTTTTATATAAAACCGTTAACTATGGTCATAGGGCAAAAATAGATGCTAAAAAGTTTAGTTTTTTTTTTTAATTAAAGTAAATTTATAATAATAATGCTTAATTCGATGCTTAATTTATTTCATTCATTTTACTACTACTAATAATAATGTAATGCAATTAATACAGTCTGTAAGGAACATTTGTATATTTTCCTGTCTGTTTTCTCAATTCACTTGCCTTCTTACCCTTTACAAGTGAGTTACTCCACATTGCTGTAATAGATTTTTTTAATATAAAATTTCAAACTATTGTCATAGGACAAAAATAGATCCAAAATGTTTTTTTGAATGAATTTAAAACACTACACATTTTGCATTATATTTTATTAAATATTTTTAATACTACTACTAATAATAATAATAAAAGGTAAATGCAAAAATATAGTTAGAAAATATAAAAATAATTTCTTGTAATTCATTTACATTTGACATGTGACAAAGTTAATTTGTGTATCTTTGTGTTTATTTGCCCAGTTAAACTGTTGTATGTTGTGTCATTTTGATTTGCATTTCAACACCTTGTTTTAATCTTTGAATATTCAGCTTGTTCACTTTCCACTTTGTGCATATAGATCTCCAGAAGCTCCCACAGGATCTTCTCCAAAGCCTTTACGGAACTGCGTCTTGAGCCAACAAGAACACATCAAGTCCAAGGTAAAGAACCATCGGGGCTGTAAGCAGAGACCCCAGTCTCAAATAGCGGTCAAACAAAAATCGAATGTGACGCTTGATTTTTAAAACAGACAGCAAGTAATGCACATTCACGAGCTATATCATCTGCTTCCTCTGTTTTGTAATGTGCACATTTATACAGCTGTTTTTATGCACAGTGCTTGTGTAGCAGGTTTCCTGTTATGTAAAACAACCACTGAGTGTGAAATTTAGTGTCGTACAGTACACTCCACTCTCTAACCAATAACCTCTGGCAGTGACCAATAACTTGCTGAACTTGTAAATGCGCCGCTGGGCTGGGAGAAGAAACATTACATTTGTATGTGCTAAAAATGTAGCATTATCTCTTGGCCTCAAAAGGATTTATTTTACTATTCGGTCATAAAATACTTGAAAGATGTCAATCTCATAATATGAAACGACGGCCTGAATAGCAACTAAATTATGTTTGTCAAGAAGCTTGTTTCTGAAACCAACCTTATAGGATTTCTAGCACATTTTAAATGTGGTGGTAAATGACAGTTTAATTATTTTTTTAGTACTGGGCATCTTCACCAAAAAGAAAGGGTGAGCGCTCTGTGAACATTTATGCTAGGCACATTTTGTTAAAAGGTTTCTTTATTTGATTGCACTAGCAGATGTCTCTTTAGACCTCCACTTTCTGGCCGCCTTCCTGTGTTAGAGAGCGGTAATGGTCCCCGGGCAGCTCACTGCTTCCTGAACTGGACGGGCGGAAGCTTTCTGCATCAATTTCACTTTGAACACGCCATATCAGTGGCGTTACTCGGCTAGCAAGGGAAACTTGAAAGGTTATTGTTTCCTGTTGTCTGCAGATTGACTTTATCCAGTTGTACTCCAATAATTTCATCACAAACTGACATCGATTGGCACAAGGGGAGAGATCAAGAGGTTCCTCGAGCAGGAAGACTACAGAGAGAGATTATTCTGAGTGCAGTTATGTAGTAAGGTTTAATGAACTCGTAATGAACCCCAGTCTATAAACTGAGGGCCAGTATTATACATATAAAAAGATGGTAGTACATTTTTACATAATGTTAGTACATTTTCTGCTACGAATGTCCATTTTAAAAACGTGCTCAAAACAGGCCTCTGGTATCAAGGTCTGTATCTAATAACCAAATCTCAAGTAGATGATCCTAAGTACAGGTGTAAATGGGGTCCAAAATGTGTGATGTGGAAAATTTGGAAAAGTACATGCATAAGTGCCACTACAAGTTGATGTTAGATGGTGAACTGAACTATTAAAGTAGAATAAACCGGTAATAAATAATAATAAAAAAATATTCGAAATATTAGCAATTTATTATTTTTATTATTATAAGATTTTAGTAAGTAGAAAGTAATAGAATATTATTAATTAAAAAAAGGTTTATTCTAAAAATATTGTTTTTGTTGTTGTAAAAGTATTAGAAGTTATTTAATTTAAATTTAAACCTAATGATTTTAATAATAATAATCCATCCATTCTCCAAACCACTTATGGTCCATGTCGGGTTCAGGGATCCTGAAGCCTATCCCAACATCTTGAGCCATAAAAGGCAGGGAAACACCCTGGAAATGTGTGGATGATGACACTTTTTATAATAATAATTATAAAAACAATAATTTATTATTATTATTCAACATACAATAAAACCCTGACATAGACAGTAACACAAAATCAGAAACCCTCCCCTCATGCTGATTCAACTCATTCGATACACATTACTACCAAGTAAAAACCGTGACCACTAATGTGTCTCAACTGACCACTTATAATTTGATCTGATGTTAATACCACATGTAAATGGGGTCATAATATCACTGCTACTGTTGCTGTGTCAGCTGGCTCAATGGGTTTGTCGCAAAACAGGTGTTATTCAACCATGCATCATTTCATTGTGTGCTTCACAAACGCGTAGACACACCCCCTCATCTTATTGAGGAAGTAGCTGGTGAACCCAGCCTGTCGCAGTTTTTCTCGGGCTCTCTGTTGGCGTACAGTCAGGGCTGCCCAACGTACCATATAAGCCTCCCATACGAAAGCACCCAGTCTGAGCGATACTGTTGGTTTAGGTGCTCTTTTGAGAAAGTGCTTTGAAAAAGCTGCACCCAAACTTTGATCCCCTCCTAGATACACCCACTGCCCCATTTTCTCTACGCTTTTGCAGTCCCACCCAACTATGCCTGCTAGCCTGAAGGGAGAGAGCGTTGAATTCTGATAATCCTTAGCTGGGATGGATCAAAGGCCCTGAAAGAGGTGGATCAGCGCTTCTCTGAGACCCTTGAGACCTTAGAGGTTCACTAAGCTTGTGCGAGATACCATTTCCCTATTTATTTATTTTTTCATGCACCTCACGCCGGCCTCTGGACTGCAATATATATCCTTTTTTTTTTTTTTTTGTATTCATTATCATAAGATTTTAGATGTGGTCGTGTCCACCCAGTTGTATCAGCAGGGCTCAAAAATAAGAACGGCCTGATGACCTGAGGCCAGTGTGAAAGTTTCTGGACAGTTGATTGGACTGTCATTTGTCCTGTTGTACCAGTTCTGTAGGGCTACGGTGTCATACAACATTCGTTTATAATACTTTTTCGGCAATTTATCAAGCTGGTAGTATGGATGTGGTTTAGTCTTGGATTATTATTATCATTATTATTGTTTGGATTAAAAATCTAAGTCACTATTTTTCTGCAAAAGTTTTAAAAGCGAATTACTTTAGGTTTTTTTTTTCTTTTAAAGGTTGTGCGGCCAACTGTCCGCTCTCAGTTTGCATGTACATACAAGGATGAGATGCCCCTCAACCGGGTGTTGGAGTTTCCCAGCACCAGCCAACTTCCCGCCTGTGTGCACCCTGCACCCAAAAAACCAATCTCTTTACATGTGACTGTGGAGCAAGAGTCTGACCCCACTGGGATGGACATCAGTCTCAAAGGTAGTGCCTCTTACATGGTGTCTTTAAATGTGGCAAAGTAATTTTGTCGCTCATAGTCCTTGTGTATTATCTTTGAGACCATTTAGATGCTGTTGTGTCCTTTGAAAAGATCACAAAATGAAACTATAATGTTTTTAAAATGTGTAGGCTTTCTCTTCTGAGAAACCAGAGCAAAATGAATGATAATGCCACAGGTTCATGTCCTATCACGGGCTCTTTAGAATGAGAATATCCCACCCACTGCAACCGATCGACAAGGAATCTGCGTTCATTAAGTCATTTCATGGGGTCTTAAGTGTTTTTTTGGCTTCCTCTTTTCTTAAGAGGGGGCTCAGTTCTTAGTGTACTGAGTAACCTTCATGCTTGGTCTGTTCGCTGCGCATACACATGCAGAAGTGCTCCCTTTTTCTGACGCCACACGGTCGGAAAGATGCCCAGGTCCACCTCCACAGCCCAGGCCTTGATCCCTGCCCAGTCCCTGCTTGGGGACTGGTACTTAAGATCAACCTTTAAACGATTCCCCATCCCATAAAACCTGGCTTCCCCCACATCTTGTTGTAAAAACTCTTAAGAGCACACGTTCCTCCCCCCCCCCCCGCTCACTTTTTGTGGGAATGCGGGCTTCGCTCCACCGGGTTACATGACAAATGTTCAGTTTCGGCGCTGTTAAATAAATACACCGCCTGTTAAAGTGCAGACTAACGTCAGCAATTTCATCATACCCTTTCGTCCTCAGCTCTCCCTCCTTTTTTGTTCCTGTTCATTGTTTCACCTTGTTCTCAAAGTCCAATTTTTTTCTTTTGTTCCCCCTTTCTTGTTTTTCTGTGGATATGGACCCAGAGGCCACTAACTTAAGGCATGAAGGTCCCGGCCAATCCGCTCTGGGGGAACATAGTGGAAATGCTTGGAACCGAGCAGGTGGGAAGGGGACCCAGCCAGAACAGCTCAGAAGAGCAACCGGGACCTCAAAGAGAAAGCTCGCCAATAGAGACTGCGGGAATGTGTGCTTCGCTCCACCAGGTTACATGACAGATCTTCAGTTTCAGCGCTGTAAAATAAACACACCGCCTGTTAAAGTGCAGACTAACGTCAGCAATTTCATCGTAACCTTTTCTACCCTTCCGTCCTCATCCCTCCCTCCTCTTTTATTCCTGCTCATTGTTTCACCTTATTCTCAAAGTCCAATGCTTTTTCTTTTGTCCCCCCTTTCTTGTTTTTCTGTGGATATGGACCCAGAGGCCACTAACTTAAGGCATGAAGGTCCCGGCCAATCCGCTCTGGGGGAACATAGTGGAAATGCTTGGAACCGAGCAGGTGGGAAGGGGACCCAGCCAGAACAGCTCAGAAGAGCAACCGGGACCTCAAAGAGAAAGCTCGCCAATAGAGACTGCACTGAGCAAGGAAGAGAAGAGAACCAGCCCCCTCAGAAAAGACCCCCTACCAAGGCTCCCGCTGGAGGCCCGGGGAAGAGGAACGTCAAAGCTGCTGGCAAGAAGCTTATCGCTGGTCAGGGCAAACTCACCAGCTTTTTCAGACTGTAATTTAGTGACCAATCTCTTGTTAATTATGATGTTCTGTTTTGGCAATAAAGTCCGGTTTTATTTATTAGTAGTCTAAATGCATTTAAAGTGATAAATAACTCGCCTGAAATTGGTTATTTATTCGCCCTCATGTTGTTCTAAACCTTTTATTTTTAGGCGAAATAGTCCTTTAAATGCTTTTACTGTTCCTTTTTAATACAAGTCATGTCACTCTACTCCAGACAGCATGTGTGTGTGCATGTTTGAGATGCAAGGGAATAGATTATGAGTTGGCAGAGAAATAACTTTTATCATTTTAGTTGAGGATTGTGTGACTGGGGTACCTTTCATGATGAATGCTTTGTTCCCCTTGAACATGACTCATACTTTGCAGATTTTAATAAATTTTTATTTTATAAACTTTATATTTGGAGTGTCTTACAGGATCAGGGGAAAGCTGGGAAAATCATACAGGTGCTTTGTCAGCTGCTCTGTTTTCAAGCTTGCCAGCAGGGCCTGTATACTCTCCCTATCATGCACCTCAGTACTGTGATGAGAACAGGAAGAGCAAAACAAATTTAGCATTAAATGTAATTGGAAGGCTACTTGTTTATTCACCGCTATATTCCCTGCTGAAACAAAGATGAAATCAACCTAAGCTGCTTTGCTGGTCTGATTTGCCAGTTGTAGAGGGGTTTTGAACACCCTTCAGTTGGGAGACCAGCTTGAACCAGGTAAGACCAGCAAACCATTTTTTCTGGCTCTATTTCTGGTAATCTGTTTTGTTTTTCAGAAAGTTATGGATGGCAGCTTTTTAACCCCTTGTTTTCTAACAAGGTTTCTTCTCAGTTTGGTAATGTGCCATTTTTTTTTTAATCCATCCTATAATTTTTTTCAAACTGCAGTGATGCTGGAGCCTGTCCCAGCATCTTGGGCGTAGGCAGGAAAATGGCATGGATGGATGGCCAGTCCTTCTCTGGGTAAATTGTTTTTAGAATGTTAACTATAAATATAACTAACTATAAAATTATAAATATGTAAAATTCTTTAAAACTTAGTCCTCAAGTTTCCTCAAGCATATCAGGCTACTTTCATGGCTATGTAAAAATATCTCAGAAAAGGATGGAGAGGAGAGGATAAGAAACTTGGAAGTGCTTACTGTCTGTGTCCCTCTTGCCAGTGGGAATGACATTATCTGTGCTACGTCGCTCATCCCTCGTGTTGAATCCATCCAGAGTGTGATCCATCCCACGTGGCGGTAGGACAGTTCTCGAAAAGGCAAGGTTTGTTTCCCTCCCAAGAGACCCTTTTATTCCTGTGTCCTGATGGAAAAGGGAAAGGCATTTTTAAGTCAGCACTTCAGAATGTGGGACAGCCACTTGAACAGAAGCAGCCCAAGCTAAACTCAAAACACTGCTCCCTCTACAGGCATTTTTCCTACTGTATTAAAGTCTGAAACAGCACCTGGAGATGTTTAAGTTAATTCGAACAACACACGCCCAAGGGCAGCCTCAAGATCCCTCTCCATAACTGCTCCCAAACTACTGGAGCAAAGCCGGCGCATGGAGCCCCACATGGAAGAAATGTGACAAAGTTTCCCATGCCTCACTTAGCCAATTTTCACAATATCACCGTGGGCCCTTTTATCCATAGATTCCATTTCCCCTCTTGTGACCATGTCCTTCCCATAGTCCTCCCCGACTGTTCCATTACTGCACTGATAATTGTAGCAATGTGAGGACAATTCAGCATTGAATTGAGAAAGCTCCGTTCGATACCCATAGAAAGGTCATCTGATTCTTACCACACCAGCAAAATTGGACCGGTACGATTTCTTGCTTTAATCTGATCAATACTTGCATGTAAATGTTGGCAAATACAATCATAGAATATCTGGTTTTTACCTGAAGTAACAGAATGTAAAATAAAATGAATAAAACTCCTACTTTGTCAAGAAATAAACTCTCAAACACTTACTGCAAGTATGAAGATCCGTTTTGTCCCATCTTCGTCCACCAGTCTGCCCTCTTATGATTGGTTGTCTTCTGTAGGTGAGCCGCCCAGGTCCCATTTCACTTACATCGTCTACTCCTTCTATCGACACCGCTCTGTCTTGGTCTGTATGTTCTTCATCCATCTTAACGTTGGGCAAAAATGTTGTTGTGCGAGTAGTCAACCCAACTAAAATTGCAAGTGCAAAGATGACCATGTAAGATGATGCCGTGATCATGGGTGATGATGGTTGATTTGCTTGCAGGAACCTGGCTTTGCACTCGCATATCCACCGAGTATCAAATGTGTGCTTTTATATGTCTGATGATGATGATGATGATGATGAGTTGTCCGTTTTGATCTATTATTTGAGTTTTGATGATTTCCATGGCTCTCCTTTTTTGAAAAGTTGTTCACCTTGATAAAAGGTGGATGCCTAGCCACAGGGTGGATATTGAGACATGTTTTAAAGCAGGAGGATTATATTTTGAATGGTTTTCGTTTTTCTAAAAGGCCCCACAGTGGTTTTGTAAAAGGCCAAATAACACCTGTGAGCCTTTCACTGTGAATCTGGAGAAAAGGGCATCCCCTTCCAATATAGCTTTCGTACCCCCTGCCATACTTAGTTTGTCAAGCTCATGCAGCAGGTCAAAGGTTGTACGTTGAGGTCACATTTTGTCTAAGCAGTGGTAGTAATCCAGTGCAAATGGTTACAATATGAAAGGAATGAGCCTCAAAGAAGGAAGAATACCTGTTGTGAGACATCGTCATCCATCAAATGACTCCAATTCCCTTGGTGCCGCCTCCTCACGGTATCGTCTATTATCTTCATGTACTTTTGTTTGTAAGTCAGAGCTGGATTATTAGTAATTTCATTAGACCAGGGGTGCCCAATCTTGCTGCTTAAAGTCTACCTACCTGTAGAGTTCAGTTCTAATTCTGCTTCAACACACCTGTCTGTAATCACCAAGTGCTCCTGAAGGTTGCTGCAAAATCTGCATGGGAAAATGTTTTGACCTTTTATGCAAAATTCCTGACAATGTGAATTGAAATGGCAGGATTTCGCTTGTGAAATTTAGCAGAGCAGGGGTAAATGTGTCGTATCAGAACAATTTCAGACTCCAGACTTTTATTTCTTCAATCTTTTTAACTGATTCACTAAAATTAAGCAGCTCATAAGAGTCATTTGCTCACAAGAAAGATAATCAAGGCTCACACTAAATACTGGTACACACTCTCAAGATGTAAGTAACCAACGGCATCTTAAGTGATATCTGACAAACCCGCATTACTGATGCACAGTGTTTTTTTTTCTTCTTTTTTTCTTTCTTTCTTTTTTTTCCTGATTTTAGGTTATCACTTTTTTTTGTTCTAGTCAGCCTGAGTCCTGTAGGGCACTTCATAAGAAATCAGAAATGTGCTCTACAAGGCTCCTCTTCAGTTCTTATGAAAACATAAAGGCTTTCCTTATTAATATCATGGTGCCTGTTGCATAGGCAAGAAGAAATGGGACATGAATAATAGTTATTGAACTCAGCTGAAGTGATTTTACTTGGAACACTCAGCCTTTATTTAGTGAGTATTTGTGTTGGAGTGAGAGAGCCTCTACTGAAGGACTCAACTGGTCTATGGAGACACGACTGTTCCAGCAAGAGTACAACTGAACTTCAGAGTTTAACACTTTGTTATTGTAACCCCTCTGTCTATGTTTCCACTCCGCGTTCTGATGTGTCTCACCCTCCAGAGTGACCTCTTCCCACCTTTGATTACCCTTACAACGATAATCTAATGTTCTGACGTGCAATTTCAAACTAATATTCATAGATCCCCTTTCATGCCTCAATTGCCACCATGGTGAAACACTTGGAGTACATTTGTGGTCTAGCTTCATCCTTCTCCAGGTTTTTGAAGCTTCAACCTCTGTGTAACTGACATGTTAGCTAGGCCGCTAGATGGGGAGATACTGCTTTATTAATGTACCAGTAAGCTCCACAAAGTCACAAAGGTTCTGTTTAATTATTTTAAGTGAAGAGGGATTCAGTCATGGTGGCAAAAGTCATGTAAATAATGAGAATTTAAAGTGCTAATGTTGATTTATTGCATTTTATTTCCTCAATAAGTGAAAGTGTGTATTCTAGGTTCTGTGACCGGTTCCCCAATCAAAATCATTTTAGATAGCATTTAGCACATCACACTGCAGGACATGTGAGCTTTCCAAAAGTGTCTCCTATCCGCTTTCGTACTACTGCAAAAGCTCTCAGCAGTTTGTAGTATGTGCTTTGAGAGTACAGACTGACTGGGTCAGTTGATTTGCTCCTTCACAAATCTATCCTTTTGCCGCAAAACTGGAGACATGAACATCCTGTAATTTAAGCATTGCACTCAAATGGAAATCCATTTGTGTCCCCTGAATACTTTGCATGGGAATTACCATCAGTGACACAAGATATATAACGACATCATAATTTTGGCTATTTTTCCTGTTGCACAAAATCACGCTTTTGGCCCTGGATTCTGCCACTGGCCCCATCTCACCCTATCACTCACCTCACGATCTTTGCCATTGATGGATCAGGTATCCACTCCAGAATTGGCAGCTGAAATACACCGTAATGGAAAAGAGAGAGTGGTCTGAATGACAGTGTTTTTTTTTCCTCCGTGTGGGATAAAGTTACGTACAATTATGGCCACTGACTCAAAGATATTCCACTCATTGCCAGTTTGAATAAAAAATTACATGTGGATGCTCTTTCGAGGAAAAGCATTAATTCTTCAACAACTGGAGCTGTGTGATGAGTTTTAAATAATGCAACAAAAAACAGTACTGCGGAAATGGACTGAAAGATTTAAGCTATGGGACTGATGAACCAAGCGCTATGTCAGGGAGCATCTCACGGGAACATTTAGTTCCTTTGCTTCTCATATCAGGGGGCACTGCTGTAAAGTGGTCAAATGTGTCTTGTGGTCAACAGAGATGCTTGGCTAGATATAGCATCACCAGCATCATCACCATATTCCCCAACCGATGC